CCAGGAGCCCCTAGTAGCGTCCTTGCTCCTAGTAGCGATGCCAGGAGTTGCTAGCATCCTTGCTCCTAGTAGCGATGCCAGGAGCCCCTAGCATCCTTGCTCCTAGCAGCGATGCCAGGAGCCCCTAGTAGCGTCCTTGCGTCCTTGCTCGTAGTAGCGATGCCAGGAGCCCCTCTCGTAGCGTCCTTGCTCCTAGTAGCGATGTAGCTTCTTGTTCCTAGTGAGCTCACCCCTTCGGCTGACGAACAACCGACCTTGAAGGGAACCAGACAAGAACTCGACGAAGACTTGTGGTTCGGTCCGCTGCGCCGTGTCCATGCCCCAAACAGGCCAGATTTAAATGGGACAGCTGTTTGTGTTCTAAGCTCCCTGAACATGTAAGGCACGAGGTTGAGAGTTTGGGCAAAGCTTTTTTCTGTGGATCTCACTTAACTTCATGGCTAGATTGGAAAGAAGAAAAGTGTCTGAGCGTTGCAGATGTGCATGTCTCGAGCGAAGTTGTATGCTCATGCCGAGTTGGGCAGCGCTGCTCTTTGTTCACTCTGTGGGCTGAAGGGGCACAATGTCAGAACATGGAGCTGACAAGTGTTGGGAATGACAGGCCAAAGGCCGCTCACAGAAAAGAAGCGTTTGGAGAGCAAGCAAGCCGGCCGCAGACCTCTTGGCTTTGGCAATAGGAAGATTTTGGGGTAGTGTGGAGCAAAATTATGTACTCCAAGTCTTCCAAGGTGGGCACAAGCGATCTCAAGAACAATTCCCGGCCAACATGAAGCAGCCAAAGTTCAGGTGCAAGATGATGCAGTCTGTGCTCACATGGGTTGCCGCTTGGAACTGAAGTGCTTCCAGAATCCGACTCCGCCTTCTTAAAGGAAACATTCGCTACGTCAGGTATATTCTTCGCACACACTTATGGATATGCGTACTGACTTGACCGCGGTGCCACACGCCAGCCTAAGAAACCCAAATCCTGAAAGGTCCAGGAAAGTCCTAAAGAGCCTGGGGGTCTTCAAGAGGAAACAGGGCCCAAAGCGGAAGATCGAAGGCGGCGAGCGGGTCGAACAGGTTGACGGCGGTCCGCTCACATCTGCCAATGCATTAGCCCTTTACCCAAATCTTAAAATTCAAGCAGGTACACAGAGCTGATCAGGCTCTGCTTCTAGCACAAGTGGATAGCTTCGTTGGGTGCAGTCTCCACTGTGCTCTGCACCCCCCTGCTGAAAAAAGAAAACCGGCAAACAATCCAAATGAATCCCTATGATTACAAGGGGTACACACACACGCCTCCCCGAGGGGAGGCGGAAAGCACTAAGGTCAGGGCAAAAGTGTGAGTGCGCGCGCAGTAAGACAAAAGAATGAAGACATGAAGAGGAGACAAGACGGGACAAGAGTGTGTGTGGTTGCAATGAAACGGAGCCAAGTGCACAGGAACAACCGATGACAGCCCACCTCAGTGTAAAAAACCTGGGCGACCTGAAACCTGATTCGAAAGTAGGTTGTGCATGTACACACTGAGGGCCGGGCAGTGTGCACGCAAAAGAAAGAAAGTGATGAGATGACAGGACATGAAGCAAGGGAAGACATGAAAGAAAAGAAGAAAAAAGAATGTGTGAAAAGGGAAAGGATGAAAAGGGGAACCAAATGGAGGGGGCCGGAACCGATGAAGCTAAACCTCATTACAACAACCTAGGAAAACCTGCCTCGTTTGAATGTACACGCTGTATGTGCACCCAAGGTCTCGACAGGTTCCAATGAACCTTAACTTTGCTTTGACCGCTATGGTCACCTTGTGCCCTGCCGAAACGGCTGGCTGCTTCGACCGCTGCGGTCACGTAAAGGCATGAGCCAGCTTGGAATTCCAAAGATGGGGCGAACATCCAAATTCTTGTGGCATAAGCCAGCTTCGCCCGCTATGGGCACTTACGTTTCCGAAGCAAGGGAAACAACGACAAACCCCCGTTCGACGGGTCCACGGGAGGCACTCTACGGGCTCATCCAAGATTGGCACAAGGCCAAGCACACTTATGGATATGCGTACTGACTTGACAGCGGTGCCACACGCCAGCCTAAGAAACCCAAGTCCTGAAAGGCCCAGGAAAGTCCTAAAGAGCCTGGGGGTCTTCAAGAGGAAAGAGGGCCCAAGGCGGAAGATCGAAGGTTGACGGCGGTCCGCTCACATCTGCCAATGCATTAGCCCTTTACCCAAATCTTAAAATTCAAGCAGGTACACAGAGCTGATCAGGCTCTGCTTCTAGCACAAGTGGATAGATTCGTTGGGTGCAGTCTCCACTGTGCTGTGAACCCCCCTGCTGAAAAAAGAAAACCAGCAAACAATCCAAATGAATCCCTATGATTACAAGGGGTACACACACACACACAAAGACGCAGCTGGCTGCAAATCCTCTCCATCACCTGGCGCTGTGGCCAAGCAGGTTGGAATGAGGCGTCGTGCGGGTGCAAAAATGTCTTTCGGCCTTTGCGAGTTCTAGAAGCCTTTGTTACCAGTGGCTTCTTGCTACTAGTGGTAAGAATGCTCCTAGTAGCATGCCAGGAGCCCCTAGTAGCTTCTTGTTCCTAGTGGCTTCTTGCTACGAGTACTAGTAGTAATGGCCTCCAACCTGCTAGCGATGGCCTCCAACCTAGTAACTTCTTGCTACTAGTAGAAGCCAATGCTAAAAAGACTGCCACTGCCAACGCGTTGAGATGAACACCTGCGAAGGCTGCCAAAGTCTCCGCAACAGAATGATTTGGTCCAAGCTTGGGCAAGCAAACCACCGTGGAAAACCTCCCCCAAAGCATTTCCAAGCATGTGTGGCTCGGGATTTTTCAAAGAGGTTCCAAGAAAGAAGCATAGCATAGCTCAAACCACTCTGAAGCTTGTTGAAAGGAGTCAAGCCTCCTCCAAAGGGTTGCAAGGATGCTTTGGGGCGAGTTGTTGGCAAGGCTGGCAAGCAGCTGTGTTTGCAGATGGTGCTCCAGCATGGAAAGCCATGCTTTTACTCAAGAGTGTCTACAAGCGATGGCGATGGCCTCCAACCTACAAGCAATGGCCGGCAGCCTACAAGCGATGGCCTCCAACCGAAGAAAGTCAAAGTGTTCAATATGAACCCCTCCAAACCTGAGTTTGTGAAGGCATTGCGTGCACACCCTCGAGGAGTGCTAGAAGCTGCGCCAGCAATCGGCTGGCTGACAGGAACTGGGATTTGTTGGATGGATGGATTCACCAAAGTGTGACCACCATGGTCAAACAATAAATAAGCCCAGTCTTGTCTGAATACTTGTATAGTTGCCATGTGTCGGTACCTGCCACTGCTGCAAGATATCGATGCTGCTGGAGTTTGGTTTGGCTTTGGCTTGACAATGCTTGAGAGGGTCAGAGGAGGGCGCCGAGCCTGCTCCAGGGCGGTGTTAGGTTTTGCTTTGTTTGGTTTTGTTAGCTTTTCGTGTCGTGCTAGTCTCTTCCAGTTCAGTGCCTGCAGTGTTTTTCACCGCTAATCTTACCAGTGTCCAACACATGTCCGAGACTGCCTGCAGCAGTAGAGCTAAAACCACCTGTTGAAATCGCACCCCACCATTGGACCGGACCACATACGAATGGAAGCAGCATTGCTTTGCTTGAAATCTAAACATATCAAATCAAACTACTCCAGTCCTCCTAGTCGAACAAAAGTTGCACATTCCGATACTTCTCTGCGTTCAAAACTTTTTGCGAGCGTATGTTGAGTCAGCATGTGGCTTATGACATGCAGCAAAGGTGCAACTGGCAAAGGGCCAGGCATGCTATGGTTGCTCCTTCTTTTCTGTCTCTATTTATTGTCCATCTTTCTTTGGACCTGTTAGACCTTTCTTTCATCCTTTCTCTTTTCTTGTTGAGCCTCTAGTCCTTGGTCATCCATCAAGCTCCCTTTCCATCAAAGCCCATCAACAGAAAGCGCACCTCAGATGGTCCTCGACCGGCAGAGGTGCTCGAACGATCTCACACGTGAACAAAGTGCCTTCAGCGTTTCGAAGTCGCTGCAGCTTACGCCTGCTGCTTCTTTGCACCCCACCGACGCCTAGCAAGTCAAGAAACGCTGAGCAACTCGTATTGTCAGGTGCACCTTGCATGCCCAATTCCAGCTTCTGTTGCCCAAACATGGAAGCACAAAAACATGGAGTGAAAAAGCTAAACATGTTCTCTCTAAAAGCTTGCAACAGGCTAAACTGAGATTCCACGGGATCAATTAAAAGAAGGAACCTGCAACCGGCAAGGAGCCATAACTGCAAACAGCAAACTTCCAAGCAACGATGTCAATTTCCTAAAACTCCTTCGATTAATTGACAAGTCCAGCCAACAATGTCACTGCCGACCTTCTCGTGTAACCCTGCGTTGCGTCTGGCAACTCCGTCTGAGATTGGTCGAGCGGGTCAATTGCCAGGTCGAAACGGAATGGCTCCAATAAAAGTGATTTAACACCTTGGGCATCTGCTTCATTGTGGAAGTAGGACCCTGTGTTGTCGCCTGCACATGGCAACCTGTACATCACCAAGCGGGCATGACTTTCAGGATCCTCTATCTCATTCAAGAGTTGCGGATCCGAAGATTCTCCCAGGTTCTTCCAGCTGCAATCGACCACAAGAAACAAGAAATTTGTCGTGTGTTTGCGAAGCTCCTCAAAGAGAGTCAAAAGGTCTTGTTCCAGCCACAACTGCTTGTTCAAATTGAGCATCACGAAGAGCTTCCGCTCCTCTGAAGCCAAAACCAAGCGGAATCGCTCCACACACCGGACCATGTGAAGGTAGTCCTGCAACTGGCCGAACCGAGAAAAGGGCTCTTCATGGAACAAATGGGTTCTGTGTGTGGTTTTATGGTTTCATTTGGTGTCCATCTCTTCCTTACTTATCCGGAAGGGTGTAGTAGATCAGGGAAAAAGTGAAAACGCAATCCAGGAACAGTAGGGAATACAACAGCCCAACTTTAAGCTGGAACTTTTGGCGGCCTTTTCAATTATTGAGGTTCTCGAAAAGCACAGTATGAGGTGGAAGTCAACATGCGGCGATGTTTTGACCAACCCGCTCAATGACACGGTGCACAAGCATGCAAAAGCATTCTGGCAAGAGCACGGGCAGGTCACAGGTGCACAGACTGGCGCCCACTTGACATGCCCTGCCCTGTTCAAAAGACAATCTTTCCATTTCGTCCATTTGAAAAGAATGGTTCCCCTGGCCCACACGCGGCATTGAATGGAACGCTTGTGTTGCATGGTTGCATCGAGGAAGCAGCTGGCATAGGATAGCCACTACGTCTATGTTCGGTTCGACTGACTCAAAGTATGCCCATGTCAGATTGATTCTGCTAAATTCTCTACATTTCGCACATGAAGGCAGGCAGCCTGTCATACTTGTATGCCACACGAGGGGCAGACCAATCACCAAACTTGAAGAACACAGCACTCAACCAATCACGAAATTTGACACTTTCAGAAGCAGGATGCTTTGAAATAACGCGATCTCCTTTCGATCTTTAGTCAGACGAGCTGTGGGTTCCATTAGGTGCGGTTATCGCTATGCTCGCGCTGGGGAAAGCACATTAAACATCATAAGATAAGGTGCTGTTTTGTTCTTGGCCCGCCCTTACTTAATTAAGTAGGTGCCTACTTAAATATAGTAAGTTTCCACGAGTTAAAAAATGAGATTCTTAATTACTTGCAGTTAGAATATTTTTTTTGACGTTCAGAAAGTAATTCATCGGAGCCCATGCAGTTAGAAGTTTTTGAATGCAAATAAAAATATATTCATCGTATATCTGTTTTAATTGAAAAGCTTTAAACAAACATAAATAAATATACAATACATATATAAATAAGCAGGTATATAAATAAATAAATATAAAAGTATATATGTATATATTAAATTTAAATATATATATATATACATGTAAATGGTAGCCAACAAGGCTAGCACACCACCAACTATATTTTATCTGCATGTTTTGATGCACATTATGTATATCATGAACTTTACAATAGAAAATCACTGAAACCAACCTTTCAGCGGCAATGCAGTGCAAAAGGGTATGCACAATGTAGTTTTCAACATATCTATCTATCAAGATCTCTCAAAACTTGAATCGTATTAATTCTATCATGGTTATATTCTATCTGCACTATGGTTTTATATTCTATCTGCATCTGTAAATCCAACCGCGTTTTTTGCCAATGCAGTTAGAATATAGATTAATTCAAAGTTCCCAATTACTTCATACTCTAAGTGCTTAAAACTTACTATAAGTAAAGTCTAGCAAACTATTAGGTAACCTGCTACTATATAGTCAGGACGCAGGATAGTTCACGCTCGCACATTTGGTTCCTAAATTCCTAGGTTACATTGATACATGTCGTACTCTTGTTTGGCTCCCGTCGATTCAAAGTGCAACCAGACGCATCAAGAGGGTGTGATGTGACTCCCACGGAATCTGGGACCCGCAAAGCAGGCGGAGCACGGGCCCACAGTTGTGCCATGCAAAGTTTCACGAACCCCGTCCGCAAACAGCTCATGTAATCAATGATGCCAGCATAAGCCCCAGATAGCCAAAACAACTGTGTCGGCGCCCTCCAGTGGCGCCGGGCGCACACGGCCAACGTGGCCACACATCCGGCACCAGCACCCTGCAGCAGCACAACCACCCAAGCTCCAAAGCGCATACGGCCACACACCTCCCAGCACCACAAAAGCGCACACGGCCACACATCTGGCAATGGCACCCTGCAGCGGCACCCCCAAGCTCCAAAACGCGCATGGCCACACGCTCCAAAGCGCACACAGCCACACATCTGGCATCGGCAGCAGCACCCAAGCTCCAAAGTGCACACAGGCACTTCCTCCTGCAATTGAAATAAAAGCCCCAATAGTTCTCGCTACCTGGTGAAAAAACATCATGAATTACGCCAGGATAGAATGTAAGTAGCAAAAAGTTTTCTGTGGGGCAGCACCCTGCAGCTGCGGCGTGCACTCTGCTCAAGCACCCGAAACTCAAAGCGCACAGGGCAAGAGACATGTTGCAGCTGGCAGCAGCACCCTCGAGCGACACCCACCAACCCTAAGGCTCCGGGAAGTCAAGAAACAAGGCTGGCAAGCCGCTCCTCGCCGCGGCCTGGGTGCGCAGATGGGCTGGCCTCCTCTCCTTCGCGGCGCTCGCCCTTGCTGGCAGTCCACTCACAACGCGGACGGGGACACGCCGCGTCGGTCTCCACTGACGCAACCTAGGTTGTCTCACCCTCCCTGGCCGCAAAGTCGGCCGCTTGCACGCTGCTTGCGGCGGACAAAAAACAAATGCCTGAAGCCTGCAAATGCACCACCAGATAGCACACAGATTACACCAGCATAGACCCAGATAGCTAGGCAGAATCCCACGACCTGTTGACACGCGACTGACTGGAAGAAGAATGTACGCAGGCTGCACAGCCAGCTTACGACACCTCCACAGCGCGCGCAATCAGCTGACACCAGCACCGGTGCGCTTTGCCAGCTGACAACACCGGCAGCGTGGTGGCTGCTTTTTGATTAGTCCAATCCATATATTGAGCCCATCTCCTGTACTCATGGCATCCTCTTAAACATCATGAAAACATATCGAAGGAAGTGGAGCCATTGATCACTCTATACGTCAACATCAGCCAGGCAGCATGACGAAATGACCAAGGAGAACAGCGCATGTCTCCTGCAATCTTGACTCCATTCTTCTCGTCACCAAGGGCTCGAAGGGTGTTGGCCGACTTGCAGACAGACTGAACAGTGCGCTCAGCTTGTCCATTGCTGGCACGCTGATCTCTCGCAGTGGTTCTGAACCCTGCCGTCAGCCCAAGAGTTGCTCGAGAATGTTGAACTGCTCGTAGCACCTCTCTGGTTGACCTTTCCCCGTCTGAAAAACCACTGGCTGAGTATTGCATTCTTGCGTGCTGAATCGTGTCAACTCTTCAGTCACCTGTTTCAACGAAGCATTTCATTTGGCCGCGACTGGAATGCACGATGTGGCCTCCGACTCAGATTCGGCCACATACAACGCTGTTCCAAATGGTTTTTCCTCCTCAACACCTGTTGTGTAGGTGAACCCAAAGTCAAAGCTTACCACACTTCTTCCACGGTCTTTCTTGTCACTTCTTTCTTCTACTGACCTTGCGTCTTCCATGGCTCTGGTTGCCACACATTGCTGACACCATGCCTGGAAAGGAAATGTATCAGTTGGTGTAGTTCTTGTTCACGTCTTGTTGGCAACTTGGCACCTTGATGGGAATGGCTTCTCTTCGATTCTCGGCAAACAGCTTTTGGGTTATCTCGACTGCTGTCCTATCTTCTTCTTGATGCTTGTATTGTTGCAGCCGTCTCAACACTTTGCTCTTTGAGCCTGAGGTTGGCAGACCCAAACGCTTGCAAACATCTTGGACCTCAATGGCTTCTCTTGGTGCCCCTCCTGCAGCTGCAAGCAAAGGCATTTCACCTCCTTGCTTCTCTTCACCTTCATCATCTGGCCACGAAGCTGGTTCTCCACACAACAACGGATATTGACTGATTGGCACTTCCGAGGACATGACACGAATGAGTCCACATGCAACGAAAGTCAACACAGCTCTCGGACCTGAAGGCAGTGGACGATATGGCAGAGGTGTGTCAAGATAGTCCAGTTACCTGGCCCTTCCTTGCATTCTTTCCTGCACACCTCCACTTTCACTGCTGCTATTCTTCACTCCAGAGCCTTCTGTTGGTTTCTTCTTTGGTGACCCTGCTGTGAGTGCCTCTTCATTTGCTTCAGCTTCTGCCTTCTCCATCTCTGTTGACAAGTCCTGCATCAATGCCAACGTGTCCTCTTTTTTGCTGCTCTTCATCGTCTGCTTGTTCTGTCGGCTTCATGCTCTTTTCCTTCTCCTCTCTTTTTAACTTTTTTCCCTCTGACTTCCGCTTTGTGCTTGACTTTCCTTCTGCTTCTTGCCCATCTGCACAATCAGCTCTAACGGCGCAGACCTTCACACCCACTCCAACGAGTTCCTTTCGAGGCGCGCTGGAATTCTTGTCCCCTTCTCTTGATGCTCCAGGTAGATCTTGTTGATCTTGCCCCAAAGTCCAGCCTTGTTTCAACAGCCGGCCAAAGCTCAAGAGGGGATGAGTCACACCAACTCCCAACGCAAACTGCTCAATGAACTCAACGTCACCATCACGGGATAGAGCTTGTAGTCGAAGACGTCGGTCGCCGCTGCTTCGAACTGGCTCTCCTTACGCGTCAATCATCTGGACTGTTCGACCTCCACCAGGTTGCCCAAGTTGGTAGTATTCTTCTGGTCTGCACCTGAGTCGAACGTCATGATCACTGAAGGTGGCTCCAGGGCAATGATGTTCCTCACCATGAACAATGCGAGTGGGCTCCAAAAGTCCTAGTCCCTGTGGGATCTTCCTCACTTCACGACAGTCGAAAGGTTTGTCTCATCACTTGTGGCGCCTGCATCTTCCATGACCTGGATGGCCAAGATCCACTCATCACCTTATTTCTCTTCAGCTTTGCCCTGATAGTTTTAGAAACGTCCTGTGTAAGTGTAAGATCGAAGATCTCCCTGGTGGCCAAACCCGTCGGCGTGACGAGCCTCACCCGCCTGACACCTGCCTTGTATAGGTGGTGTGGGCAGAAGGACTCGTTAACGCAGTCATGCTCTGACCTGTTGCTGACGAGGGTGAAGTCTTCCCTTCCTTCTGCCTCTTCACCCTTCCAGCATTCACGGGCAAAATGCCCTGCTTTTCCACAGTTCTGGCATACTGT